TTCTTCCAAAAGCAATTTATACATTCAATGCGATACCAATCAAAATACCAAAGTCATTTTTCTCAGATCTGGAAAAAATGATGCTGAAATTCATATGGAGACACAGGAGACCTCGAATAGCTAAAACAATCTTGTACAACAGAAACAAAGCCGGAGGCATCACAATACCAGATTTCAAGACATACTACAGGGCAGTTATAATCAAAACAGCATGGTACTGGTACAGAAACAGAGGGATAGACTAATGGAACAGAATAGAAACACCAGAAATCAATCCAAATATCTACAACCAACTTATATTTGATCAAGGATCTAAAATCAATTCCTGGAGCAAGGACAGTGTATTCAACAAATGGTGCTGGGAAAGCTGGATTTCCACATGCAGAGTATGAAGCAAGACCCCTTCCTTACACCTTACACAAAAATCTACTCAACATGGATTAAAGACTTAAATCTACGACCCGACACCATCAAAGTATTAGAGAACACTGGAGAAACCCTGCAAGATATAGGCACAGGCAAAGAGTTATTGGAAAAGGCCCGAGAGGCACAGGCAGTTAAAGCCAAAGTTAACAAGGGAATACATCAAATCGAGAAGCTTCTGTACTGCAAAAGAAACACTCAGGAAAGTGAAGAGGCAACCAGAAATCATTTGCAAACTATGCAACTGATAAATGATTAAAAACCAGAATATATAAAATGATCAAGAAATTCCATAATAACAAAACAAACAACCCAGTTAAGAAATGGGCAAAGGACTTAAACATTTTTCAAAAGAGGAAATCCAAATGGCCAACAGACACATGAAAAAATGTTCAGGATCACTAGCCATCAGGGAAATGCAAATCAAAACCACAATGAGGTTTCACCTCCCCCCAGTTAGAATGGCTTTCAAACAGAAACCAACTAACAACAAATGCTGGTGAGGATGTGGGGAAAAAGGAGCCCTAATCCATTGCTGGTGGGAATGTAAACTGGTAAAATCACTCTGGAAGACAGTTTGGAGATGCCTCAGAAATCTGAATTATAGATCTACCATATGACCCAGCCATCCTACTCCTGGGAATTTACCCAAGGGAAATGAAATCAGCAAATGAATTATCTGTACCCCCATGTTTATTGCAGCTCAATTCACAATTGATAAGACATGGAATCAACTTAAATGCCCATCAACTAAAGACTGGATAAAAAAAAATTATGGGATATTTGCTCTATGGAATACTATACAGCAGCAAAAAAATGAAATTCCTTAATTTGTAACAAAATGGATGAATCTAGAAAATATACTTAGTGAAATAAGCCAGTTCCAAAGGGACAAATATCAGACGTTCTCCCTGATCTGTGATAACTAATAGAACACCTAAAAGGAAATCTGTAGAAGTAAAATTGACACTTTGAGAAGCAATGACTTTAACAACTTTTGTCTTGACTGTTTAAGAACAGGTTTTTTTTTCTTCATACTATTTGTTGAAGTCTTTATTTAACATAGTTAGTTATATGTGTATAAAGTAAATTTAAAATATATCTCAGTAAAAAATGAGAGGAAATAAGAGGTGGAGAAGGAAGTTTGTAACTATAAAGCTGTATAGTTTTGCATACATTCCTACAGACTTACTTCTAAGGGTACAGTTTAAAAACTTGCCATGGCCGGCGCCGTGGCTCAATAGGCTAATCCTCCACCTAGCAGCGCCAGCACACCAGGTTCTAGTCCCGGTCGGGGCACCGGATTCTTTCCCGGTTGCCCCTCTTCCAGGCCAGCTCTCTGCTGTGGCCCGGGAAGGCAGTGGAGGATGGCCCAAGTGCTTGGGCCCTGCACCCCATGGGAGACCAGGAGAAGCACCTGGCTCCTGGCTTCGGATCAGCGTGGTGCGCCGGCCGCAGTGCGCCAGCCGTGGCAGCCATTGGAGGGTGAACCAATGGCAAAAGGAAGACCTTTCTCTCTGTCTCTCTCTCTCTCACTGTCCACTCTGTCAAAAAAAACAAAAAAGCAAAAAAACAAAAAAAACTTGCCATGGGGCCCCAAATCCCATTAAGCTGAGTGGTAAAAAAATGTCATCTTAAGAGTTAAAGTGACCATATTAAGTGTTAAAGTGATCATATAGATATGATTAAGTGTTAAAGGAATCATATAAATAATATCAAGTGTCTGGTAATAATAATAGATAGAATTAAAAAGGAGAGAATATTCCAACATGGGAAGCAGTCCACACAGCAGACTCATAGTATGACAATTGGTTTAAATAGCACTCTGACCTCAGAATCAGCACTTAAGACATTCTGGTCTGGCTTAAAAGCACATGAGAGCATTTCAGGCATGGGAAGCCATAACACTGGAAAAAAAATTACCTACATGAAGGATATCTGTGAGACCCCAGTGGAAAGAAGTGGCCATCAAAGAAGGATGTACTTTTCTCTGTAGGGAGGAGGGAACTTTCACTTTGCTTATGGCTTTGTCTAAATGATGGAGATTGTGGTTTCAAAATACTTCCATAGCCTTGGCAGCTCATGTCTAGAGCTTCAGGTGATCATTGACATCATGCATAGGAGTGTTAATTGTTAAATTAACAACAGGAGTCACAGTGCACTCATTTCCCATGTAGGACCTCTCTACTCAATGAGTTGTATTATGAGAATTAACTTTAAAACTTGTCCTCAAACAGTGTGTGTGTGCACATTGTTGAAATCTTTACTTACTATAGAGTTGGTCATTTATGTATAAAGTTAATAGAAAATGAATGATAATGGAGAATGGGACTGGGAATGGAAGAGGGAGGCAGAGGTGGGGTGGGAGTGCAGGTGGGAGGGCAGGTATGGTGGGAAGAATAACTATATTCCTAAAGTTGTACTTATAAAATTTGTACTCATTAAGTATAAGGTTTCTTTGGGAAAAAAATAAATGAAATTGATAACAGGATTTGTTAATTGAATACAAACTCTTAAAGTAAGGGAAACATTAAAAATCATATCATATGCCTGAAAAATATGGTTTCAACTTAAAACAAGTGTTTATGACAATTTGCCAGTTGTGGAGGTACAAAGCACAGATTTCTTTTACAATGTGTGCACTTTTAAATTTCCCTTTTGTCTTTCTTGTATCAATAATATCCATTAATGCAAGCCTTGCCCCAGATCACATAAGCATGAAAGCGAAGGAGCTGAGATTTGAACCCAGGCTAGGTGGGCACAGAATCTGTATTCTTAAGCACTGGGCTGTCCTGTCCTGAATCATCCTATGTAGGTCTGATGAGCAACCAGTCTGCCAAGAGTCTCCACTGTACAGAAAGCAGTGGTCAACATATCTGACAGAGGCACAAGAGGGCATTGGTTGTGGGGAAGTACCTCTCTCTCTGTACTCCCCCACTCTGTTTGTAACTATGTCTCTCAAGTAAGTAAACAAATTTTTTTTAAAAAAAGATGGGACTTAGCCGCTTGCCAAAATTTATATCTGTGTATTTATACAAAGTTAAATCATTTACATTTTATAGACAAATTATCTGAATCAATTAAAGTCAAATCATTATTCGGGAAATTAGATATTGGTAATGATGAATACCTCAAATATTTTATATATGAAATATGCATATACTTATTTTCTGTGGGGATACTTTTAGAATTTTCCTGTTTCATATTTATAGACTGGCTTATTACAAGAACAATTATTTAAAAAATTAAAAAAATTCTATTTTACAGATCATTATTGCCATCTGCTGGTTATGTAGCTCAACTGCATTTTTTGTTTAAAAATTATGAACTGTTTTACTTAAAAGGGGGAATGAGCAAATTTTAAATATATATGACTAGATTAGAAACTCTAACAATTTGTTAAATAATCATGCATCTTCATATCAAAGAGATTAAGATAATACAAGAATATATTGCATTATATCTAATTGTAAATGGCTATGTCAATTGTTCATTTATCCTAAAATAAGTATCAGGCAACACTAGCGTACGTGATTGTTCTTAATCAGCATGCAGCTAAAATGTAGCTCAAATAATCACCTGCGTGTTCAATATAATATGGTCAAAGATAAGTGAACATGGCTGGAGAAGTTATAAAGATAAAAATATTCATGATTTTACTAAACTGTAAATAAAACCAAGTGTCATGACATCCCTGTCATATACACATCTCCCCTCCTTAGTGAAAGAATGCAAAATTATTTAGGCAACAGTGTCTCAGTTAACTAATGAACCAAGAACATAAACTACTGTTCAATAATAGAGGTAATGCATAACATGATGACAATATACAAATAAATCTAACCGTGCACCTCACTTGGAGCGATGGACAGGAAGATTTCTGTGCAAGGAAGTGGGAATCGACGTGGCAAAGGTAGCTTGGGGGCAACTTACATTACATTCATGAGCAAGCCAGGGAGTCTGCACCGCACTTGCTCGGGGCTGTGGGAGCTACGGAAATCTCTAAGTGGTGATGCACCGGGAAAATTAATCAGGCCGCCGTGAGCCACGGTTCTGAAGGGGCGGACAATCCACCCTAGCCCAAAAGGGTGGTGTGGACCCCAAAGGCACGGCTGCGACAGCGGCCGCCAGGGCGCTGGGCGGGGGCTGCGGGACCAAGCGCCCCCTCTTAGCTGGTCTTCGGTGGCCTCCGGCTCAGGAAGGCGTTGAGAGCACTGGGCACAGCGCTTCAGGAGCCGAGTAATTCTGAGGAAACAACTCGCTTGAGAACGGACGGATTCCCTGAGCCCTGTTCCCGCAGGGCACACGGGCGTCATCCAGTGCCCCGGCCTCAGCCGCTGGGCCACGTTCATAACCTCGTTTGATGACCTTTTTGATAATGTCGCAGGGGTTCGACCTGAACTTGAGGAAAGGCATGATGGGACAGAGACGTCTCCTCGCGCGGCCCCCAAACTGCGCGGCTGCGGCGGCGGCGGCGCTGGGGCGGGCGCGCGCGGCGCTGTGCGCGGAGGCTGCGCCGTGGGGCGCCGCGCGGGCAGCCCGCGCAGCTGGGATCGCACGCCCCGCTCCGCGTTTCGCCGTCGCCTTGACAACCGGGCCGCCGGCAACGGCGGCGCCGACAAGTCGTTGAGGCTCCGGACCTCGCCGGGCGCGGCTGGGCCCGCGCCGGACAGTGCCCCAGCTCCACCCGCACAGGGACTATGAGAAAATGGTGGGGCAAACGAGGAATAAGCTCAGAGAAGCGGCTGCAGAGCCGTCTCAAGCCCGCCCGGTGCAGTCGAGGCGTCGGCGCCGGGCCACGGGAGCCGGGGAGCCGGAGATGGAGGAGGGGAAGAAGGCGGCGGTGGAAAAGCCCGAGCCGCCCTCGCAGCCTCCTCCGCCTCCGCCCGTAGGCGGCGGGAACTTGCCGGGGGGCTCCCGGGAGTACTCGCCGCGGAGGACCCGAAACCTGAACGCGCAAAATTGCCTGCAGCTGGAGGTGGTCGCCAGGACGCTTCTCCTCGGCCGCTTCCAGTTCCTCAACTGCTTCCTGGAGCTGCTCCGCGAAAAGGTGCTCGTCTTGCAGATGCGTCGGTTCTCGAACAGGACCACCCTCAGCATAGGTGAGCGGAGCGGGGCTCGGCGGCGCAGGGGCCCGCAGACCCGCGGTGTCGGCAGCGCTTTCCGCGAGTCCTGAAGGAGACCCTGCAACCCAGCCAGCGCCCGTGGGTGCGCGGCTGCGGGCTCGCCGGGAGTCCCCAGCACCCTTGGTTCTCCCTTGGCAGGGGTTGGGGACACAGTGGTCATCCCCGTGTCGTTCGGCAGAGTTTCCTGAATCGGGGCAGCCAGTGATGACTTCGTAAGAACGCTTGGCTAAATCGTGTGGGCCAGACTTGGCGATTTTTCGCATCCTAAATAAAAACGAAGTTTTTAATTTTTTTAAATAGCTATTAATGGAAACAGGGTCAAAATAGACAACGCACGAGAGACACTCAAAAATTAAAAGATTAATCTATTTTTGATACAAAAAATTGAAACCCATGCATAGGGGATATGAGACAATTCTGGCTGTCAAAAAGTATTTTGCACCAAAAACATATCTTTTAGTTACGCTTTGCGTGAACTTTTTGAAGTACCCTTGTGCTGTTGCCCTGTTGGTACCCACTTCCATGTTACCGTGGAGTTCCAGTGCCTAAAATTTGGGAATTTTCTTGTTTAAGGACTTGAAGGGTTTTTCTTCTCTGTTTACTTCCCTTGTCTTCCATAGTTTAAGAAGTGACTCAAAAGTTGTTGCTGTCTCAAAAAAATTGATTTTGAGCCTAGTCCGTGGTCAGCCTGGCTACAGATGTAAATTGAGACATGGGTAAATGTAAATAGATTATTGTGATTTCTTTTCCACTGTAAGAGGACAGCTGGTGTCAGTACTTGATGATTAAGGAAAGTTCATGTGTAGGTTTTATCAAACCGCGGGAACCAACGTAGTCTGGACGCCAGGCTCCCGAATACAAGCTCCCCTGTGCAGAGGCGGGCTCCTGGAAGGCCTGTGCTGAGTGACCTGACTGACTACCACGTGTCATGGAAGTTCAGAAGAAGCGAACTTACCGTTTAGGGTGGAAAGTGGGAAAGGACGGCTGGGAAGACTTTCAGGAACAGGCGGGATTCCGGTGGTGACCAAAGGCTGATATTCAGATGTGTGACACTGAGAACAGCAGGTGTTAGAGGCTGCTAGAACCGCGTGGACGAAAGAAGAACATGAAAGCAAATTTAGGCTGAAAGGAAGGGAACAAGAAGAAAAGGAAGTAGGAAGTGAGTTGAAAAGATTGGCCTGGACCAGCCGCGGACAGGCTAATTGAAGCCCAGGTCTAAGGCATTTGAACTTCATTCCATGGGAAGGCACTGATTGCCTTTAAATGTGATGAAATCACATAACTAGGAGACAGGCAGTGATGGCTCAGGTAATTGGGTTTCCTCCACCCACACGGAGAGGAGACCTGAATTGAGTTCCTGGCTCCCAGCTTTGGCTCAGCCCTGCTGTGGCAGGCATTTGGAAGAGAACCAGTCAGCAGGAGCACTGTCTTTGTGTCTTCGTGTCTGTCATTCTTTTCGCGTTTCCAAAAAATACATATGTGTTTATACCGTTTTAAAGTGAACAAATCAGTGGCATTTAGTATGTTTGCACTGTTGGCTCTAGAGTGACCTAGTCAGAAATGTGCTTCAAAATGATTAGTTCTACAGTAGTGTATAAAAGGGGCTGGAAATGGACTGAGAAAGAGAGCGGAAAGAACAGGTGGAAAACAGTCACTAAAATCCAGCCAATAATGGCCTTGGTAAGGGTAGCAACAATAGGAGTGGAGAGGTTGAAAGTGAGAGTTGACTGAGATTGATAGGACTGGGTAGGTGGAGACACAGTTGGGGGCAGGTGAGGGAGAAAGCACCTGGGGAAAACTTTTAAATGTAGTTGATGAGAAGAAAAGGAAAAAGCAAGCTAAGCATACAAAATGAGTGGTGAGAAAATTAAGGAACAGGGAGAGTTGGTGTGATGGAAAATGAGGGAGGAGAAAAAAATGTAAGAATCTGGTCTAATGCAGGTAGAACAATCGGAAACTGTAACAATGAAGGAGGCCATTTGATTGTGGTAACCGAAAGGTCATTGGTCACTTAAAGTCTTACAGGAAATTAGAGGTGGTCAAAAATCTTGTCATTGAATGGGAAGGGGTGATGGCTCACAGTTTGAAGGGTTGTTAGACCACAGGAAGTGTTTCGAGGTCGAAAATGAAAATCTAAAGGGAAGATCTTGGAGTGTGAAAGGCTGTAAGAGAAGGGAGAGCACAGTCTTAAGTTATTTGAGAAGGATGGAATTAAAGGCACAAATCTGAGATGCTGACTGTGGAAGGGGGAGAGATTCTCTTGTGAGATGATAGAGAATAGAAAAGACTTAAAATATTGGGAAGTATTTAGAGCAGCGGTGATGTGCAGAAACTGGAAATTGGGAGCGCTGGCATCCAGTGGTCTTTGTTCTGGTGAAGTGCGAGCTGGTTCACATTCTAGGGGAGGTGGAGGGAGCATGCAGTTGTCCTCACAACGTAAAGGGCTGCGGGTGAGCACTGTGCGTCTGGAGTATTGGCACTGCGATGCTGCCGTTTTCCAGAGACCCAAAAATGTGGGGGGCGGGATTGTTGGAAAGGTCGATGTATTTGACAGCATATTTGATCCTTTCCTTAAGTATAATTTCTAAGTGTTTGTGCCAGTATATATAACTTGTCAGGAGAATAGGGGGGTACAAGTTTTGTTAAATAGGACAGTCCCTGTATCTCCTAACATGACTGATGATTTGTTAGATGGCAGCTGTTTCATGTTGAAAGTGAAGGTATGAAGTTTTTTTTTAATAAGACTTATTTATTTATTTGAAAGGCAGAGTTACAGAAGGCTGAGGCAGTGAGAGGGAAAAAGGGAGGAGGAGGGGTGAGAGAAAGAGATCTTCATCCACTGTTTCACTACCCAAATTGCCTGGAGCTGGGCCAATCCAAAGCCAGGAGCCAGGAGCTTCTTCTGGGTCTCCCATGTGGTTGCAGGGACTTAAAGTCTTGGGCCATCTTCTACTGCTTTCCCAGGCCAGAACAGAGAGCTGGATCGGAAATGAAGCAGCCAGGACTTGAACTGGCGCCCATATAGGATGTTGGCACTGCAGGCAGCAGCTTTACCTGCTGTACCACAGCACTGCCCCCTGAAGGTATAAAGTTTCATTTGAGTGGTTCAGAGTGTAATCGATAGAAATAATTTTTATATATAGTGAATATGCATATTTTTCTGTAAAGAGCCTGGGAGTAAATATTTTCAGATTGTCAGGCTGCATGCAGTGTCTGTTGCATTTTCATCTTTATCTTTTTGTCTTTTATAACTTTTTGTCTTTTATAACTTTTATAACTTTTAAAATGTGGACCATTTTTACCTTGCAGATAATATAGAAACAAGCCATAGGCAATAACTTGCCCATCCTGGTTTAAAGAAAAGTGGTTAATCATTTAGGAAAAAGAGCAAGAGAAGCATGATTCAATTTTTAAACTTCTTTATTGAATTAATTTGTATTTATTTTGTTAGCCAACTAGGCTAACTAAAACTTTTTAGGGGGTTAATATTGGTAGTTTTGTAAGATAATTTGCCAAGTATTTGGGAAAACCATATGCATACCATTATAAAATCTTGGAGGGGCAGAAGGACTTATGGAATAACCCAGCAAATTCACTCCTCCGAATGATAGTGTAAATACTTGGAAAATTATGAAAATTGACTTTTCATAACTTTGAAAATTATTTTGTTTTTTAAGGGATATATTTATGGGGCAGGCGCAGTGGTATAGTAGATTAAGCCTCCACCTGCGGTGCAAACATCCCATATGGGCACCAGTTCAAGTTCCAGCTGTTCCACTTCTGATCCAGATCCCTAATATGGCCTGGAAAAAAAAGTAGAAGATGGCCCAGGTGCTTGGGCCCCTGCATCCGTGTGGGAGACCTAGAAGAAGCTCCTGGTTCCCGGCTTTGGATTGGCCCAGCTCCGGCTGTTGCCACTATTTGGGGAGTGAACCAATGGATGGAAGTCCTCTCTCTCTGCCGCTCCCTCTCTCTATCTGTAACTATGACTATCAAGTAGATAAATAAAACTTTAAAAAGCATATATTTATTGATTTGAAAGTCAGAGTCACAGAGAAAGAGAGACAGACACACACAGAGATCTTCCATCCACTGATTCACTCCCCAAATGGCTGCAACTGCGGGGTCTGGGCCAGGCTAAAGGCAGAATCCGGGAGCTTCCAGAGCTTCTTCTGAGTCTCTTATGTGGGTGCAGGCACATTAGCCCAGAGCTGAATTAGAAGTGGAGCAGCTAGGACTCAAACCGGCTCCCATATGGGATGCTGGAACTGCAGACTGTGGCTTAACCGGCTATGCTGTGGTGCTAGCCCTATAACTCTGGAAATTAAACGTAGGTTCACAACAATCTAGAGTATTAATTCAAGGGGCTGGCGCTGTGGCGTAGCAGGTTGAATTGCTGCCTGCAGTGTCGGCATCCCATATGCGCGCTGGTTCAAGTCTTGGCTGCTCCTCTTCTGATCCAGCTCTCTGCTGTGGCCTGGAAAAGCAGTAGAAGATGGCCCAAGTCCTTGGGCCCCTGCACCCATGTGGGAGACCTGGAGGAGGCCCCTGGTTCCTGGCTTCGGATTGGCAAGCTCCGGCCTTTGCGGCCAATTGGGGAGTGAACCATCAGATGGAAGGTTCATATTCTCTCTCTCTCTCTCTCTCTGGCTCTCTCTTTCTGGCTCTGACTCTGGAGCACGCTCTCTCTCTCTCTCTCTCTGTAACTCTGACTTTCAAATAAATAAATAAATCCTTATTTAAAAAAAAGAGTATTAATTCAAGAACAACTGCTGAACCGCTGTAAGAACAGTGGGATTTGTGGCACTTCAACTTGTTCCTCCCCGTCCCCGTCTCCATGCTACCCTTGAAATCAAGCAGCTGCCAGCTGCCAGAGGGGACAGGCTGGGTTTGCAGCTTCTTGGAAAGCCCTGTGCCTTGTCTCCCTAGCACAGCCTCATGGTGGGAGTGTTCTGGGCCATCTAGGGCAGAGAGCTGCCAGTTCATCAAGGTTTGAGCTGCACAATGGGGCTCTCACACGTGCCGCCCAGGAAATGATCTCCTGCATTTAATGGGTCTTTCATGAGCAGAGGGAAAGTGGTCTCGGGTGGCTGATGTTGGCTAGTCTTTTTCTGAAAGAATCTAGCTGAGCATAGCATATTCACTTCTTTAAAAAATCTTGTGTAAAGGAATAGAGAAGGAGACGAGAGAAGAAGACATTGAAGAATCATGGAAAGGGCAGAGTCACCCATAATTTGATCCTTTTACACGTTACCTAGTGGGATGCATAAACCTTTCCAGCCTTTGTGTAAATGTCCAGTGGCCCCAGCAGAGGTCAACACAGTTCATAACTTGCCCTGCTGCTGTTTTCCAGGCCTCCTGCTTTGTGTGCGCTCTCTAAGCAACTGCATTTGAAGTACTTGTTTTAAAGGTATTTTATAGTAAAGCAGGTTTTAATGACTTTTTTAAAAATTCTTTTTCCAGCTGCCTTTGTGGGACTTCTACACTGGTAAGATTTACTTTCAGTTTGAAATAGACAGTTGTAGTAAAAATTGCCATCACTGTTTGCATATAGTAAAACTTGTAGCTGTGTGCACAGAACCTCCCAATGTGCCTGAGCTTGTATTTTATAAACCTCATAGTGAAGCAGCATTTACTAAATAGATGCATTAGGGGAGTATTGAGTTACACACTAAAATATTTTTGATTTACCAAAGAATTCACCACTGTATTTCTTTATATATCTAGATTTTCTGGTGGTTTTTGTCTGTTGGTTTCATCTAAAACACTTCCCATTTTATAGTAACTATGTGTTGTTACTCATGTAAGTTTAGAGGTAAAGTTTTAGTAACAACCACCCATAGGATTTAATGATTTTTGAGCCTTTCAGTGTGCAGATGTACGTACCTTATTTTGAACAAGATATCTGTAAAAATTGTAGGTAAAATTTTAATATTTTTCCTCTGGAGTATTTCCATTTCTACCTGAGCTCAGGGATTCTAAATCTTGGGCGGTAGAGGGTCTGCTCCATGTTCTGCTGGGACAGTGCTGCTGTGACCATCAAGTCTACAGGGGGTTTTGATGTTAGAAGTAGGGCTGCCATGAAACTCGGCCCTTTAAAATATAGTGTAGTTATCAAAAAAGTGCTTTAATTTGAAGTAACTTTAAAATTATATTCTGAGTGCTTTTCAATACTTACAGAGGTATTTCCCAAATATAATTAGAATCTTTTGTTCTGTTCTGATGTAGAGCCCAAGGGTGGGAGGAAGAGTGGAGAGATCCAGGGATTTGGGATGTACAATTAAGTTTAAGAACCAGTGACTGAGGAATTTCAAATGTGTGCTGTGCTTGGTTGCGAATACCTAAAAATATAAAAATGACTAAGCAGATTTTAAAATTACCTTAATATGTATTAAAAAATTGATTTTCCTTTTAGTGGTCTCCTTATTTTGCTTATCTGTAACTTAGTTATTTTAGTACTAGTTTTGAAAGCTATACTTTTTATAATATGGTCTTTCATTTTTTCCCTAGGATACATTTAGTAACTCTTTTTGAAAATGACCGTCATTTTTCTCACCTCTCATCTTTGGAACGAGAGATGACTTTTCGCACTGAAATGGTTAAGTTCTTTCTTCTAAAGAATTAATTCGTGGTCTAATAATACTAAGACTATAAGATAGAGATTTATTCAGAACTTAAATAAATTTTTGGTGAATGACACTGTTTCTACTTTTCCATTTATGAGTTTACCTGTTCTAGGGCACTTGAATTACTCCTTTTTGATTTTCCTCTCTATTGCCCTGTAAAACTTTGAAGAATGTCATTTGAATACTTTAAAGGTATCATTTCCCCCAAAAGGATATAAACTGTTACTAAAATACATAGTGTGGCAATGGCAGGTGTAGATTTGGTGACGGACTGATCCCTGGATTCAGACAGCAACCCTGTGCTTTGTCGTATGAAGACTAGTCAGTCATCTCTCTGACTAGTAATCTTGTTTGTTAAGCAGAAATAATGCTAACTCAGGGCATTAGTGACAATGAAATGAGATGGTGAATGGGAGCACACAGTATGGTACTTGGGACAAAAGCAATAGCTGTTATTAATAAAAACTTACATTTCCCTAAACTAGGGCTTTTTGCATGTTAGATAATCCTTTCATTGTTGAATTATCTTATTGTTCTCCCAAGCAGAAAGGAAAGTGCTTATATGAATTCATATTTTGCTTATCAAAACTGTGAGAAAATAGCTTTTCAGACATCAGCTAAACTCTTCAGTTTAGTATCTACTAGTGTTGCCTGATCTATCCAAAAACAAAGTAGTTGGCTGAGGCAGGAAGGAGTAGAATTGAAAATTATTTTTAATTTTTTTTATTCTGGAAGAGTGTATTATAAACAATGTGATTCTTTATTTGCTTTTAGATCTTTAAGGGAAAGCAGAAAATGGTTGAGGAAAGCAGCATGATTCTTAAGTTTCCTTGATTTTCACTACAGAACACTTTGCAGGCCTAATGGCACTGTTCTCTGTGCTGGAATGACACCGCAACATAACGCCCTTTCCAGTACCCTGCAGTTGTGAGCCTCAGAAGCAGGCATTATAAAAATATTATAAAAGTATTATAAAAATACTTTCAGGTTTTACTTATATTGACTATAATCTGTGCCTTTTTTAAAAGGGACTTTATTATTCCTACTTCAAGACCATCATTGAAGCCCCTTCCTTTTTGGAAGGACTGTGGATGATTATGAATGATAGACTTACTGAATATCCCCTTGTGATCAATACAGTGAAGCGCTTCCACCTTTACCCAGAGGTGAGTACTGTTTTGAGACAAATACTGTTTGCAGAGTGATTCTTCTTATATAAAAGTAGTAGGCATGATGATGGTGCAAAGAAAGAAGGGAGTCAGGTTTACCGATTGGTCCTTGAAAGAGTGTCAGAAGTTCTCGTAGAACTGAGACCTCAGGAGTTGTACACACAGGAACTCAGCAAATAAATCTTGGTGTGGAAGTAATGACAGGGTGAGTGGAAGAGAGTAGTGGGAGCCAACAAGTGTTCTGAATTGGGATGGTCTATGAGCTTGAAACATGCCGGAAAGCATGGTGAAAGTGATGAGCGGACCAGTGGCCTTGGAGTTCCATTTAGAAAGCAAGATTTATTTAGTCACATAGCCAGAAATCCATGACTATCTTCCAGTGCTTAGGCTAAAAAATGTGGTTTTTATAGTAGTCTACAGAATCTAGAAATGAAAACAACAGCCAAAGAATTTAATAAACTCAATCTGTGAACTTGAGATAAATGCTAAATTAGACATCATGGTAAACACTACTTTTGAGTTTCAAAACCCAGAGGATTAGTTTAAAGTTACTTCATCATTTTACTCTTTAAAAATTATTATTCTTTTGAGTTTGAATTTTTTAAATTATAGAAACTTAGAGAATAATATTCAAATGTGTGTGATCAACCTTGTAGAAGAAAGAAATGCTAAAATTTCATAATTTTTGCTGTAGATGTTTCTAAATAATTTCAACATTGTAAGTATAGTTAAAGTCACTTTTGTTCTGCTTTTCAGTAGAGTTTGCTCCTTTCCCCTTCATACAACTATTGTTAATGTAAATATGATGTATATATTCATCCAGTCTCATCCAAGTCAAGGATGGTTTGTGTATTTTGTTTTTGAACTCCACATAAATATTCTCGTACTAAATGTGTCATTATAAATTTTCCTCAACATTTTTGAACTCTGTGTATGTGTACATATGTACACATAAACATCTTTAATTTTAACCATTGTATGAATCCCAAGATGTATACATTCCTTATTTATGGCTTATTAGTTCCAATTTTCCATTACAAACAGTTCTAGAATGTACATTCTTTTGTGTACGTTCTGTGTGCAAGATTTTTTCTAGGCTGCGTACCTGGAAGTGGGACTGCTGTGTTACAGAGCACGTGCTTTGTCAGCTTACCAGATGTTGACAATGGCTTCTGAAGTAAATGCTGCAATCCACACAATTGTGTTGGTGAATCCACTTTCTCTCGTGTCCTTATTATGTTTTGAATTATTCAGCCTTAGGATTCCTGCTCTTTTAAGCGCTATGATATGCTTCTTGTAATTTGTGCTTTCCTCTTTATTTGTGGGTTGAGCATATTTTCGTGTGTAATAGAGACTTGGATTTGTTCTATCAATATCCTGAAGAAATCCTTGTCACCTATTTGGTGGTAGTTTTTTTCATTGGTTTGTTGGCATAATTAATATATTTTGTATAGTACTCCTTAATGACACATGCTGAACATACTTTCACTCTGGCTTCTTTCTGTCTTTAATCAGCTTTGTTGGGGTATAACTTACATGTAATAAAAGTGTGTTCATTTTTCGTGCACGGTTCTTTGAGTTTTGACAAATGTATGAAATTATATAGCCATTCCTGCAACTTAGTTATAAAACATTTTTATAATGCCAGAGCATTTCTGTGTGCTCTTTTGTGGTAACTGTCTTTTCCCCACTGAATTGCCTTGGCGTGTTTGTTGGAAATTAGGTAAGGATTAGTTTCTGGATTCTGTTCATATGTATGTCTCTATGTATGCCAGTAATGCGCTGTCTTAATAGTAAATCTTGAAAGAAGGTTTTTCTCCAACTCTGTTTTTCCCTTTCAGGATCACATTTCTATATAAAGAGCCAGCTTTTGAATTTCTTCACAAAATCTTGCTGGGATGAGGGTTCATTCAGTGTAGTATTTGTGAACGAATGAAGCTGTGCTGATTTCTTTGTGGCACATACAAGGTAGTCAATAGATAGAACCCGAACACAACCAAAATTAGGTTTTTCCGCATCCTCACCTGCAGTTGGTGATGCCATTATTTCTGTGAGTGTGCAGTGACATCTCACTGAGGTTTCAGTGTGCAGCTCCCTGATGATTGCTGATATTGAGCATCTCTCATACTTATTTGCCATCTGTATACACTCTGCATGGACTGTATCTTCATGTCTTTTGTTCATTGTCTTTGTGGATTGTTACTTTAATGTTGCATCTTATTGTGTTCTTTATATATTCTGGATACTAGCTCTTTGTCAGATATGTGCTCTGCAGATATGTCCTCCCAGTCTGTAGTTTGCCTTTCATCTCTTAAGCAGGGTCTTTTGTGTGCAACATTTTATGAACTCAAATTTGTAAAATTCCACCCCTCCCCCCCGAGTAGATCATGCTTTTGTTTAAGTTCTAGCCGTAGATGCTAAATACTTTTTTCCTGTATTTTTTCTAAGTGTTTGAGTTTGGTGTTCTACGTGGAATTCTGTAATCCATTTTGGGTTAATTTTAGGTCAAGGTTCTTTTTGTTTCTCTGTCTGTGGATGTCCAGTTGGTCCAGTACTATTTGTTGAAAATGCTGTCTTCGTTTCACTGAATTGCTTTTGTGTTTTTGTCACACATGTCAGCTGGACCCCATGGACTAAGCACCTCTTTAAGTCCCTACCTATTAATAACATCAACATTTGCCATGAGGTTTCAACCTGCATCAGAGGGGATGCATTCAGACTACAGCAGTGCTGTTAAAGTTTCTGTTTCGCCTTCCTCGTTACCATTCCATCTGAGAAAATGGAGCAAAAAGAAAGAGAAAGCCCAGGAAACCTGGAACTGTGTTGTTATTTGGGTCCTGTCTACCATATCTTCACCCTCCAGAATCTTCTTCTGCTTGAATTATACATAAGTCAGAGGGTTTTTAGTTATTCTTATGGAAAAGTACACGTACTCCATCTTCCCAAAAGCAGATGTTTGTGTTACATAAATGTTGTTCTTTCACTCTCATTCAGTTCAAAGTATTTTCCATTTTCTTTTTTTTTAAGATTTATTTATTATTTTAAAGAGTTACACAGAGAGAGAAGGAGAGGCAGAGAGAGACACAGAGAGAGGTCTTCTATCTGCTGGTTCACTCCCCAATTGGCTGCAACAGCTGGAGCTGCGTAGATCCAAAGCCAGGAGCCAGGAGCTTCTTCTGAGTCTCCCACTTGGGTGCAGGGGCTCAAGGACTTGGGCCATCTTCTACTGCTTTCCCAGGCCACAGCAGAGAGCTGGATCAGTAGTGGAGCAGCCAGGATTCAAACCGGCACCCATATGGGATGCCGCAGGCACCACAGGCAGTGGCTTTATCGGCTACGCCACAGCACCGGCCCCTCCATTTTCTTATAAGAGTTCTTGTTTGACCCATTGGCTCGAGTATTTGTAGGTTCCCAGTATCTATTTCTGCTTTGATGTCTGTAAGGTTTGTATGTGATTTATGATAGTAACAGCTGCCCAGTGCAGACCTGCCTAGGATAAATAACTTGGCTCAGTTGAAAGTACAGGCAACAAGGAGTTCTCTTCAATCTTACTTTCACAAGGAATAGATACAAAAATAGATACAAAATTGAGAAGATCTAGATTTGTCGTCAACCCTGTATAGTATTACAGTGCTGAATTGTATACTCATACTGTTTGTGTTCACAAGGAGGTTAATTTATCATCTAAAGCTAAAAATGCAAGTTTAAAACAATATTTTGAAAAAGGTAACGCATGTAATGCTTATTGTATGGGAGCGCTTTATGTGCAAGTACTAACCTCCCCTCTCTCTTCAAGGGGCTCTTACTGAACTCTGGGGAGATGAGGTAATTGAGCTTCAGAGGCTCACGGATTGCTGGGGGCCGCAGAGACCATCACTTGCAGAGTCAGGATTTGGCTCAGTTCTGGCTTCAGAACCGTGCTTTTCTTGCTGTGTCCTGCTCATCCCAGACACAGGGATGATTCTAGATTTAGCAAGCGTATTTGATGTGCTAGCTCTTGGTATACACAAATGTTAGCAGAATATCAATTTTTTCAAGTGGAGTGACAAAATGGTTAATCTGTACTTTCTTAATGTGAAAAGATGCTTATGATGTTATTTAGTGATACATACCACATTAACATCCATAATAGAATCTCATTACATAATATTGAATAATTCTAGCTCCATATTTTAAGTACCTAGGGAGATGAGGGGAAGGATGATTAACAAAATATTAAAAGTGGTTAAGTTTAGGTTTTTCTTTTCAATTCCTTATGATTTTTCCCAATGATTTCACATTTTTTTTTTTTTTTTTTTTTTTGACAGGCAGAGTGGATAGAGAGAGAGACAGAGAGAAAGGTCTTCCTTTTGCCGTTGGTTCACCCTCCAATGGCCGCCGCGGCCGGCGCGCCGCGGCCGGTGCACCGCGCTGATCCGATGGCAGGAGCCAGGAGCCAGGTGCTTCTCCTGGTCTCCCATGGGGTGCAGGGCCCAAGCACCTGGGCCATCCTCCACTGCACTCCCTGGCCACAGCAGAGGGCTGGCCTGGAAGAGGGGCAACCGGGACAGAATCCGGCGCCCCGACCGGGACTAGAACCCGGTGTGCCGGCGCCGCTAGGCGGAGGATTAGCCTAGTGAGCCGCGGCGCCGGCCCTGATTTCACATTATTTTTAAAAGATTTGTTTATTTGTTTGAAAGACAGAGATACAGAGAGAGAGAAGAAGAGATAGAGAGAGAGAATTGATCTTCTATGTACTGGTTCACTCCCCAAATGGCTACAACAGCCAGGGCTAGGCCAGGTGGAAGCCAGGAGCCAGGAGCTTCTTCCAGGTGTCCCACATGGGTGTAGGGGCCCAAGGACTTGGGCCATTCTCTGCTTCTCTCCCATTTGCTTAGGCAGGGATTTGGATCGGAAGTGGAACAGCCAGGACTTGAACACAATGCCCATGTGGGATGCTGGTGCTGCAGGCCATGGCTGTAACCTGCTGTGCCACAGCACCAGCCCAAATTCACATTATTTTTATAAATAGTTGTTTTGAAGAAACTTTCCCACTTGTGAACATCTTGGGTTTTTTTGGTAGTCTTAGAATTTTAAGAAGTGGATTATACATTGGGAAGAATTTGTTAATTAAATCTGCTCATTCAAGGTTTTATTGGGCACAGGAGCTATTATGCATTCCATTCTAGCTTTTTAAAATGATTTATTTTATGAAGAAATAAATTCAGGGAGTGGCATGTGGCATAATGGGAAAAGCTGCAGCCTGCACTGCTGGCAATCCATATGGGCACTGGTTCCTGTCCCAGCTACTCCACTTCTGACCCAGCTTCCTGCTAATAGCCTGGGAAAAGCAGTGGCAGATGGCCCAAGTTTTTGGGTCCCTGCCACCAATGTTGGAGGTGAAACTCCTGGGTCCTGGCTTCGACCTGGCCCAGTGCTGGCCATTGCAGCAGTCAGGGGCATGATCCAGCAAATGGAAGATCTATCCCTCCCTCTTCCCCTCTGTCCTCACTGTAACTCTGCCTTTCAAATAATTTTTTAAAAAACTGTATTTGCCAACATTTTTTTAAAAAAGAAAGAAATTCAGGGATCTAAATGAAATGTTATGGAATATTTCTGTAAGTCCATATTTTTCTGTTAATCACTTTCTCATATGTTTATATTTGATTTTATAGTTACTATTATTTATATTAGAGCTTATTATATATAATATGTATGTGACTTGTACACTATAAATACATATGCTTTTTAAACATATAGTATACTTATTCTTAGAGTTAAGTATAAGAATATCAGAAAGTTTGTGGGAAAATGAATTAAATGATAAGTGTAGGGGCTGATGTTGTGGCATAGCAGACTAAGCTTCTAATTGGAATGCCCACATCCCACATCAGAGTACCTGTTTAAGTCCCAGCTACTCTCTGGCTCTGATTCAGCATCCTGCTAATGCAACTGGGAAGCAGCAGATAGTGGCTCAAGTGTTTGGGTTCCTGCCACCCATGTGGGAGACCGAAGTGGTCTTCTTGCTTCCTGGATTCAGCCTGGCCTACTTCTGGCTATTGTGAGCATTTGGGGAGTGAACCAACCAGTGGGTAGAAGCTATCTTTCTGTCTCTCTGCTTTTCAAATAAATCAATGTTTTAAAAAAGTTTACTTTGCTGTAAAAATATTATTAAATGCATGCATAGTTTTTACATGATCCCTATTTTCATGAACTTTTGGAAGACCTTAATATTCATAGATTTTAAAATTTTTTGCACCAAAATAAGGTTATCTTTAATTCTACTTCCTATGAACTTTTTGAGGCATCTTTGTATTATATATTTAATACATTTTATATTGATTTTGTTTATTTGAGAGGCAGAGAGAGGGGGAGAGAGAGAGAATGCTCCTGTCATCTGGTTCACTCTGGGCCAGACTTGAAGCCAGGAGCCAGGAACTAAATTCGAGTGTCCCATGTGGGCAGCTTGGAATCAACTACAGCAGCCCTTAGGTGTCCCTTAGCAGGAAACTGGGACCAGGGACCAGGGCCAGTGCTGGTTTTAAATCTTGGTAGTCCAACATGGGCTGTGGGTATCCCAGACAACGTCTTAATTGCTAGGCCAAATACCTGCCCCAATATATAATTTTAAAAATGATTATTCAGTAAATAAAAATAAACTTGTTAAAAGTTTATGATGTCAGCCGGCGCCGTGGCTCAACAGGCTAATCCTCCACCTTGCGGCGCCGGCACACCGGGTTCTAGTCCCGGTTGGGGCGCCGGATTCTGTCCCGGTTGCCCCTCTTCCAGGCCAGCTCTCTGCTATGGCCAGGGAGTGCAGTGGAGGATGGCCCAGGTGCTTGGGCCCTGCACCCCATGGGAGACCAGGAAAAGCACCTGGCTCCTGGCTCCTGCCATCGGATCAGCGCGGTGCACCGGCCGCAGCGGCGGCCATTGGAGGGTGAACCAACGGCAAAGGAAGACCTTTCTCTCTCTGTCTCTCTCTCTCACTGTCCACTCTGCCTGTCAAAAAAAAAAAAAAAAAAAAAAAAAAAAGTTTATGATGTCAAAGGTGATCATGATAAAATGACATTTTGGTAAAATTGTTACTGTGAAGAGAATATATTTTCTTCCCTTATCTCTTTTTGTTTTTATCTTTTTGTAGGTAATCTTAGCTTTCTGGTATCGCACATTCATGGGAATAATGAATTTGTTTGGGCTAGAAGCTAAGACCTGCTGGAATGTCACCAGGATAGAACCTCTTAATGAAGTTCAAAGCTGTGAAGGCATGTGTCCTCTTAAAATCCTGCTGTGTTAATCATTAGGGTTTTCATAAACATTGGGTGGCAAAATGGTTAATTTTTTTTCTTTGAGATACCCTAGAACTGAATGTATTTGTTTTAAGGTAGTTTAGTTGGAAGACTATGGACTTACTAGCTTGAGTGTAAATTTAGAATTAGTTTAAGTATTAATATAACTCAGTGTAAGGTAATCAAGTAGAAGTCAGTTTTCCATTTCAGAAGAGGAGATGCAATAAAACGTTTTTGGGGTAACCTTATTAAACTCGTATTAAGCAGTCCAATGGAATAGTCAATTTATTGATTTAGTTCTGCATCCATATTTGCAAATCAGATATATGACATAGATTGATTTAGAAATAATGCTTTTTTTATATGCTCCCTGTCCATACGTAGTTTTACTCAGTCACTTTCTATAAATCTTCATTGGTGTCTTTGTCACAGAACCATGCTGGGATCGTCTGACAGATTCCAGGACATGTAATGTTTATTTCTATTTGTGTTTGCAACTGAGCCCTTTTCTACTCCTAATACGATGCTGTTACTTGAGACCCTGGTGGAAAGCCTCACACATCTCTTCGGATAACATTTTCATGACTATTTTTTCTATTTCTTCAAAACCTCCATGACATGATTATTTACTATATTTTATACATATATTTTTATGGGCTTGTTTATAGTAACATTCAGCTAAAGCGAGCTATAGTATTAACTATAAACACTGAGGCTATGTTTCCCTTACATTCCCACTGATGCTCTCAGTTGATCTTCATAACATTTAAAATAGCACTGGGAAGAGGGCGTTTGAGGGGGCAATGATGCTTTTTTGGTGAAAATTAAAGGAGTGAAGAAAATGTAATGAGAAGATGGAGATTCTGTAATGACTCGGTCTGAAAGGAGGATAGAACACCCAACCTGCACATAGACAGATAAGATATTTGTGAAGTTCCCAGTGAGTCGGGGGGCCTCCGCTGCATGGAGCGGGCACTAAGAGGGCTGTTGACGGTTTACAGCAGTGAGGACAGAAGTGTGGTCAGTGAGGCCAAGTAGGAGGCTGTTGTACTCTCTGCAGACAGTTGCAGGAAAGATAACTGGGGAGTGCCTGCATTGGAGACGGGGGATTTTGGAAGTGAAATGGACAAGACTTGGTAACTGGTTAATGGAAGGAAAAGGAGGGTGAAGAATCCTGTAACAGTGCTTGGTCTCTGACTTCACTGAGTCCTTTTGAAAGGTAAGCACATTTGGAAAGCAGCAGGTTTGAAATGCCGCATCTCACCTGTATGTATGAGTTTGGCGTTCCTGAGAGACCTCAATGTGAAAATGTCAAGTGGCTACCTGGGTACATAAGGAAAAAGAATAAAGTTCTGGGCTGAGTATAGACTTGGAGTCATCTTTATATAGGTAATTGGAGCTATGGAAGTGGAAGAATTTCCTTCTGGAGAATACGTGTCCTGAGAAAAAAGAACATTAGTTGGTCCAGTATTGAAGAGGGGTAGATAAAACAGAAGAAGTTATTGGGACAGATTGAATGTGTTTGTCAGAGACGTAGAAGGAATCAGAAAGGCCACATTTCAGCTCTTGGCTTAAACCAATTAGAGCCAAATAACTTTTGCAAGTTACTTAAGTTTTCTACCTTCTGTTTTTCAACCATAAAAAAGTATTTTCTTATAAACTAATTCATATATTTGTTTTGAAAATTATGTGAGATGATGATTATAAAGCACATAGTAAGTGCTACACACAAGCAAATAATCTTAAATACTGGAATGCATGTATTACCATTTTACCATGCATACTAATGAACAGAAATAGCTGTCTCGTTTCATGTAAACTAAAGCTGCTCCTTGAGGTTAGGGACTCTATCTTACTCATTCTGGAGCCTCGCAGAAAAGAAACACGTGGTGACTTTTCTCTGGGAATTCAGTAAGTACCTGCAGATAGCAGTATCACCTAAATTAACATGAAGCTCCAACAATCATTACAGTATTATAGTACTTCATGAGGGAAAGTGTTGAGTAACCTTTATAAAGTGTAAGATATAAAAGTGACTAAGCAATATCTCATATGGGGGTGGCAATGTTGTATTAAAGAGAGCAGTGTGGAAAGTAAATGCTTTCAGCAAGTTCATAAACTCTTGATTACAAAACACAGAGTTAATTATTATGCCCAGTTGCTTTATAGTCATGTATATTAAATACTGAATAATCTGTGTCTTTTCAAAGGATTGGGAGATCCTGCTTGCTTTTACGTTGCTGTAATTTTTATTTTAAATGGACTAATGATGGGATTGTTCTTCTTGTATGGTGCATACTTGAGGTAAGACTAACAAATTAAAAAATCTTTTAATGAGTTTATAAAGACTGGCTAATATGTATTGGTTAAATGATGTTAATTAATAGGGAAATTTGTAACTTTAGTTGATTTTTCAGAAGGTTAACTGACGTCATGCAACCAGAAACTGGAGATGTCACTGAGATAATGTGGTAAAGCCCTTCTTTTTATCCTTGTGGGTTTTTTTTTTTTTTTAAATGAAGACTTCTAAACAGAGGTTTTTATTGAAAATACCTCTGGTTCATGTGTAAGATTGTTAAAATGTCAGAAGGGATCCTTGGTTGGCATTAGTAGGATAGTCTGCTTTTATTCTCTATAAATATGAAATTGAGAAAACAGTAAAAGAAGCTGTATATCATTTGAGACAGTTTGTTAGCCTAATTTTCTTGATACCAGTGTCACAACTTTGGAGTAGCAGTGTGCCCATCTGAGATAATACATTTAAATGATTTATGGCAATTGTGTATTTGGCTCTTGCTCTTCATTTCTTCTTGGGATAGCTGTAAGAGCTAACTTTGCCAATGGGAAATAAAACAAAGTCAGCTTTGGTTTCACCTAGGCAAACATTTGCCATTCTCACAAAAAAGATTCAGCTGCCACTTCTCTGTTTCTTCCTTATTTTTGCTAGGGTGTGATACCCAGATTGGTAGCATTTGTCTAAGGACAATCAAAGTACTGGAGTTATCTGGCCTAACATTCTTGTGTTGCTGAACCTATGCCAGCAGACACTTACCTTTCATTTTTTTTCTTTTTTTAAATTTTAATCAATTAATTTATTTATATAACAGATAGAGTTAGAGAGAGAGACAGAGTGAATGGTCTTCCTTCCGTTGGTTCACCCCCAAAACGGCCGCCAAGGCCGGCGCTTTGCCAATCCGAAGCCAGGAGCCAGGTGCTTCTTCCTGGTCTCCCATGCGGGCACAGGAGCCCGAGCACTTTGGCCATCCCCCACTGCCCTCCCGGGCCACAGCAGAGAGCTGGACTGAAGAGGAGCAACCAGGACTAGAACCCAGCGCCTATATGGGATGCCGGCGCCACAGGTGGAGGATTAACCAAGTGAGCCACGGCACTGGCCCCCATTTTTTTTTCTTGAATGTTAAACATCCATATCATTTAAGCTGCTTTTGTCAGTTTTTTTTCCCCTTTCTTTCCTATCTGAATCATCAACTTTATTTCAGCATAATTCTTTTCTAAAAAAAGATATATTTATTTATTTGAAAGTCATAGTTACATAAAGAAGAGGCAGAGAGAGGTCTTCCATCTGCTGATTCACTCCCTAGTTGGTTGCAATGGCTAGAGCTACACCAGTCCAAAGCCAGGAGCCAGGAGCTTCTTCCAGGTCTTCCCATGCAGGTGCAGGGGTCCAAGGACTTGGGCCATCTTCTGTTGCTTTCCAAGACCATAGAGAGCTGGATCGGAAGTGGAGCAGCCAGGTCTTGAACCAGCACCCATATGGGATGCCAGCACTGCAGGTGGCGACTTAACCCACTATGCCACAGCTGTGGCCCCTTCAGCATAATTCTTTAACTGCATGGTATTTAAAGTTTAAAACATAGATTTAATTTTTCAACAAGTATTTATTGAGTTTTCATTTTGTGTGATATATATATATATATTTTTTTTAGGGAGTTTTCAGTATTGGAAGATTAACATAGAATCAGTGAAAACTAAAGAAATATTTAGCACTGGAGTAGGGATGCTGTCAAGCATAGTAAATTAAAAACTAGAAATAGGATAGAAAAATTTGGGGAAAAGTGAATGTTTTTAAAATATTGCATTGTGTATGTAAAAATGATCAATAAAAGTTTTGAAATAATACAAAATTTATCTTATTACTGGTTGTAAAAATTAATACATGAAAATTATAAATTCTATACCCTAGTATCAAACAGAAAATGAAATTTTAAAAGGATGCTATGGGGGCTGGTGCTGTGGTACAGCAGGTTAATGCCCTGGCCTGAAGCGCCAGCATCCTGTGTGGGCACCAGTTCTAGTCTCGGCTGCTCCTCTTCCAATCCAGCTCTCTGCTGTGGCCTGGGATAGCAGTGGGCAGTGACCCAAGTCCTTGGGCCCCTGCACCTGCATGGAAGACCCAGGGGAAGCTCCGGATCGGCGCAGCTCCGGCCATTGCGGCCATCTGGGGAGTGAGCCACCAGATGGAGGACCCCTCTCTCTCTCTCTCTGCCTCTCCTCTCTCTGTGTAATTCTGACTTTCGAATAGATAGATAAATCATAAAAAAAAAAAAAAAAAAGGATGCTATGTAGACTAGCATTAAAAGCATGAAGTTTCTAAGAATTAATCTAACGAAAAGAATACATGACTTCTGTTATTGTTAAACCTTATTGAAATGCATTTGAGAAAATCTAAAAAAATTAAAAATCATGTTCTTGAATTGAAACACCTGATTTTTACAAAATGATAGTTTATCACTAAATCTATTTATAGATTCTATGCTGTACTAATCGAAACCCAATATATTTTTGTTGGAGTTTATAAACTGATATTATAGTTATTCAGAAATACAAAGTACCAGATGTAATTGAGACATTCTTGAAAAAGGTAAGAGGACTTGCTGTAGTAATTGTTGCTCTGTTGTAAAGCTCATGTCAGCAAGACAGTTTACTGTTGCTACTGGGACCAACAAATAGATCACTAGAAAGAGAAGAGCCCAGAAGTAGAAATGTGCATATAAAGATTAATGTATGACAGTAGATTTTGTAGATCAATGGATAGGTTCCTCAGTTCATAGCACAAATAATTGAGAGATTATGTGGAACAAAGACAAATTGGAACTAGTAGATTAAAGCTAAACTACTAAAAACAAAATTATAAAATGATTAGCTTATGATACAGGAGAATATCATCAGTAACTTGGAATATGAAAGACTTTCTTAAGATATAATAAGTTCAACCATGAAGAAAAAAGCTGATAAATGTGATGAAAAGACCCAAGTCTCTCAAGATACTATAGAATAAAAAAATTAGCTAGAAATTGGGAGATTATATTTGAAAAACATAACCATGTAAGATCTGAAAATTCCATTTATACTTTGTCATAATACTGAAAAATGTTTTTTCAAATGCCTCTTGTGAACAGAAGCATTGTTGTAGGTGCCAGGAATAAAAAAAACCAATATTTATGCTAGTGGAGTTTATAATCAGGTGGAAAGACAAAGGGAACAGATAACCTAATAGATTCACGTTGATAAATATTAACACACATTTCTCAGAACTCCATGGCAGATAAATGTGTGTAAAGTTAGCCATCACTATTACCAGGAAGACACAAATTCAAACTACGGTGATATACTATTTCACATCTAATAGACTGATAAAGAGATTTTCATCCAACCACGGGTGGACGTATTTAATTAGTACAGCTATTTTGGAGATCAGTGTGCATTATCTAGTGAATTTGAACATGTAGATAGCTTATATTGCAATAACTCCAATTTAAGGTATATATTCCTATTTAAGTTTTTATACATGTATACCGGGAAATATGTGTATGAATTTAGCAGCATTATTTATAATGGCTCCAAACAGGAACTAACTAAAATGTTCATTCACAGATATGAATATGTCTTGGTTTATGAGCATGGTACAGATGTTTTTTGCAGTAATCATCTAACAAAAAGCATATTTTATACAGTGTTGACTATTTCATGTACAAAAATGAGCATTTTCATAGACATGGGATACATAAATAATATTCAGATATCACTGGCAGTGTGTACATGGTATAATATGGGTTGTCTCATGATCACATGTCTGACTCGGCATCATGAAAGAGTACTGTACTGCATGTTTCTAGTCAAAGGAAAGATCACAGCTGAAAATTCAAAGTATAGTTTCTATGGAATGTATGTCACTTTACAACCTAGGACAATCAAAAATTATAGTTGAACCATCTGTACAGATCATAAGTCAGTAACCATCTGTTTAATAATGAGGGCAAATGTCACAAATACACACACTTCAATGTGAAGGAATTTTTAAAAAAATTTATTTGAAAGGCATAGATAAAGAGAAAGAAGGAAGGAGAGGGAGAGTGGGTTTCCATCTGCTGGTTCACTCCCCAAATGGCCTCAATAGCCAGGGCTGGACCCATCTGAAACCAGGAGCCAGGAATTGCTTCTGGGTCTCCCACGTGGTTGCAGGGGTCTATGCACTTGGGCCTTTTCTGCTGCTTTCCCACATTAGCAGGGAGCTGGGTCAGAAATGAACTTAAACTAGTGCCTATCTGGGAGGCTGGCACTACAAGCAGAGGCTTAATCTTCTGTCCATAGCACCGCCCTGTGAAGAATTCTTTCAAATAGAATTTGAATGAATGAAGTCAAGTACAAAATAAAAAGCTGCTTAATTCCACTTTTCTGTAAAATTTAAAAGCAGTTGAAGGTAAATGGTGGTTTGTATATGTGAGATTTGCAGACTCATATCAAGATAGTGGCTTTCTGGGGGGAGGGGACCAGTGGCAAGTGGGGACTGAAGATGCGATCATTTTGTGTTCACTTTTGTGATTGTTCTACAAACTAGAACATTTACGTACTTTTTTGTATACTATAAAGAATTAAATACAAAATTTATTATAGTGTTTTAAGGAAAAAGGATTACGTGAAGTTGTCTTGGGACGCCTAAAATGTTCTAATTTTAAAAATAGTTTGTTATTCTTTTTAGTTTTTAATATAGGATGTTACATAACAATGACTAAAACTCTTTAAAATTAGTATTTTTTCTTTGGAATGGCTACCCAAGAGGTGTTGTTCTATCTGAATTAGTTACATGGTTCTAGAATTTCAAATACACTGTTAGGTTCCAATCAAAATATATTTAGACAAGGATATATATTTAGACAAGGCCATAAGCAAAGTGAAGTTCTCACTTCCCTTCAGAGAAAAGTGAATCATCCTCCCTTGATGGTGGGAGAGGGAGGAGGAAGTGGGGTGAGAATGGGGATGGGAGGGCAGGTATGGTGGGAAGAATTGCTATAGTCCTAAAGTTGTACTTATGAAACTTGTACTCAATAAATAAAAGGTTTCTGCACCCGCATAGGAGACCAGGGGAAGCACCTGGCTCCTTGCTTCGGATCAGCGTGGTGCGCCGGCCACAGCAGCCATTGGAGGGTGAACCAACGGAAAAGGAAGACCTTCCTCTCTGTCTCTCTCTCACTGTCCACTCTGCCTGTCAAAAAAATTAAAAAAAAAAAAATTAAAATAAAAAAAAGTTTCTTTGGAAAAAAATGGATATGTAGATGTAACCAAGCTTCTCACACCATCCTTCTTTCAATTTCGTTTCTTCTTTTTTGAAGTGCATCTTTTGAATTTCTTTAGTTAAAATCTGCTAATGGTAAATCATTTCTCATTAGCTTTCTTCTGCTTGGTGGTTTTATTTATTTATTTGTTTATTTTGACAAGCAGAGTGGACAGTGAGAGAGAGACAGAGAGAAAGGTCTTCCTTTGCCGTTGGTTCACCCTCCAATGGGCTGACTGTGGCCCAGCGCACCGCGCTGATCCGAAGGCAGGAGCCAGGTGCTTCTCCTGGTCTCCCATGGGGTGCAGGGCCCAAGCACTTGGGCCATCCTTCACTGCACTCCCTGGCCACAGCAGAGAGCGGGCCTGGAAGAGGGGCAACCGGGACAGAATCCAGCGCCCCAACTGGGACTAGAACACGGTGTGCCGGCACCGCAAGGCGGAGGAGCCGGCTATTGAGCCACGGCGCCGGCTTGGTTGTTTTTTTTTTTTTTTTTTTTTAAACTCATTTCTGTAATACTGAGCGTCTTCCCATTGTGAATATGGGGGTACAGCGGTGAATGAGCCAGATGAAGAATCTGTCCACAGGGTGCTGTGAACGTGGTGACGATGGAGGTGGGACATGAAAAGAGTGTGCAGGGAAATGTGGGCAATTCAGAATATTCAAAGGATGTGATACAAACACTGAAATGCTAGCCCATTTGGTAAGTTAGCTCATGTCTGCATCTATGTACTTTATTTAGGAAATATTTTAAACATGATAAATCATAAAACAGGTGGTTACTGACTTATGATCTGTACAGATGGTTCAACTATAATTTTTGATTGTACTATGTTGTAAAGTGACATACATTCCATAGAAACTATACTTCGAATTTTCAATTGTGATCTTTCCTTTGACTAGAAACATGCAGTACAGTACTCTTTCATGATGCCGAGTCAGACATGTGATCATGAGACAACCCATATTATACCATGTACACACTGCCAGTGATATCTGAATATCATTGGTATTTTATATGTACACATATATATATTTGTTCATTTAAGATTACAGAACTAGATGGTACTGTTGACATTTTTATTAATATACAGTTTAGTACTAATATGTTTTAAATATGGAAAACTGATTATAAAATCTGAGATAATTTTGTGGAAAACTCACATTTTGCATGAATTATGATTGTATACTTTTTCTTTAACAGTGGGACTCAGCTAGGAGGTCTAATTACAGTAATGTGCTACTTTTTCAACCATGGAGAGGTTAGTTATATAGAAGATAATTTTTAGAAAATAGAAGAGGCTGTAAAGGAACAAGGAAATACATTAATCAGAACAATATGTAGATGCATACTTTATGACTGCAACATTTTAAAACCTCATATATTGATATTTTACTTTAAAATCTTAAAGCACTAGAATTTAAAGCATGAAATATCTTGCATGGTTTTTAATGAACATTTACATATATGTATTCTGTAAAATAAAAGGAAGTATTGTGCTTGCTGAGTTCAGACCTTTATATACATGATCTCGTGCAGTCCTACAAACTTTCTGGAGATGGGTGCTAAGGTAGCCATGTAAGTTATGACGCTGGAATTTAGAGAGTTGAGATTACTTATCCAGGTTTCCACACTCACTATGTGAAGAAGCCGTGTTTCTCATTTTGTACCTATATGGCTCTAAAACTTTGTTTTTGAATATATATTGAAGTTTTGAAACTTTGGACTAAGAGCACTTAATGTGAAATCTGCTTTCTTATCTGATTTTTAGGTATATAATACAGTATGATTAACACAGTGTTACACAGCAGATTTCTGGAACACATTCATCCTGCAAAATAAAAACCTGCCCCTTCGCTAGGATGGAAGGGCTGCTGGGGCCTGGCAGCGTGCCTGCAGTTAAGGCACGGCCGCTGTGCTGGTGCTGCCTTTTCAGTAGTAGAGAATGCGCAATTCAAAATAGAAATTAACTTAACTTTCATCCAAGGGGTCATGCTCTACGTAAAACGAGTTCGTAGACTTGACTTAGAACACGTTAGATTCATTCAATACAATATTGAGTATGTACTGTGTGCTAGATTTCTGTTAGAATCTGAGAACATGGCAGTGAAATGAGAGGATAAAAGAATGCGACTGCCAGCTTTTGGCAGCAAGAATGTAATACTGTGGCACAAATTCTATAGGATGGAAGACACTGTTATTAGGGTAATTTTACACTTGATCTTAGCCGAAAGGCCGAGAAGCAGTATTAGGTTAATTTTTACAACTATACATAAAATACCTTAAACTATTATTTTAACTTAAGAAAACAAATGAGTTTTCATTCACAAATGTATATTAATACATTAATGCATATTAATATACAAATGTGTGTTAATACTCTTTATATTAACAAATAGAGGGTCTTTGAATATGCCAATTAGTGGTATGAGTTGTCTGTGTTATGCATTTCATAATTTATCTTCCAACATTTACAATTTTGATTTGGAAGAGGAGCAACAACTTTTAGGACTCATAAAATCCTAACAGTTTGTATTCTTTCTAGAATTTCAGAAATGAAACTTTCACAACACTTGGACCCATGTGTTAGACACAGTTTTAAAGTCTATATGAAAATTAGTGAATACTTTCATTACATTATCAGTTAGTGATTCTTGAATACTTTGTTAGTAAAATTTATTTTCAAAAGTGTAGCTCACAAATCCAGTGGCAATCTTTATTTATTTATTTACCCACTTACGGTAAACTCTCTCAGTGTTTGTTTATGTCCTAGGTGATGTTTATTTAGGTATTTTTGTGGTGAGCTTACATCCTATCACTCTGGGATGCTAGGGCCAAACCTGCTGGCCTGGAATATGGATCTGGTTTGTCAGTTTTCAAAATCCCTAGATCATATTATTTGCCCTAGGATTTCCTTGTGCTTGATCTGATTTCTGAAGAGCATCAAAAAGTTCGTGGAAAATGTATATTATGAAAAAAATGTATGAATAGGCCTCTTTTTTTGCATCAAAACAAACCTGTCTTTTAATTCATTTTGTTCTATGAACTTTCTGAAGATTCTCATATCTTTCATTTCTCTCTAGCCTTGGTACTTAATTGTGCTCAATCTAATGGCCATTTGCATTAAGAAAACTTTGAAAATGGATAAGCTATGCCAGGCATCCCGAAATAGGGCCCAATAAGTCTAAAATTAAAAATATTAAAACTCCCCCTAGTTTTGACCTTAATACTTGTTGTAAAGGAACAGGATGTGAAATGAGCATTTTACTGATTTCAGGCTACCCGTGTGATGTGGACGCCTCCTCTGCGTGAGAGTTTTTCATATCCATTCCTTGTACTTCAGATGTGGATTTTAACCATGATTCTCAGGTAATTTAAATTTATAAAATAACATTAAATATATTTTTTAAAGATATTATTTATTTATTTGAGAGGCAGAGTTACAGACAGTGAGTAGGAGAGACACAGAGAAAGGTCTTCCATCCACTGGTTCACTCCCCAAATAGCTGCAATGTCCACAGCTGCACCGATCTGAAGTGAGGAGCCAGGAGCTTCTCCTGGATCTCCCATGTGAGTGCAGGGGCCCAAGGGCTTGGGCCATCTCCCACTGCTTTGCCAGGCCACAACAGAGAGCTGGATCAGAAGAGGAGCAGTCGGGACTAGAACCGGCTCCCATATGGGATGCCGGCAGTATAGGCGGAGGATTAACCTACTGTGCCACAGTGCCAGCCCCAAAATTGAATATTTTTGCAATGTATTTACGTTTGTTAAAATATGCTTCAACCTACTAATTACCAAATGCTTTCTTTTAAAAGTTATTTTAAGATTTATTTGTTAATTGTTTGAAAAGCAGAGTTACAGAGAGGAGGAGGAAGAGAGAGAGAGAGAGATTGATCAATCGATCTTCCATCTGCTGGTTCAATCTCCAAATGGCCCCAGTGGTTGGGGCTGGGCCAGGCTGAAGCTAGGAGCTCAGACCTTCTTCCAGGTCTCCCATGTGGTTGCAGGGGCCCAAACACTTGGGTTCTTTTCCTCTGTTTTCCCAGGCGCATTAGCAGGGAACTGGATTAGAAGTGGAGCAGCTGGGTCTTGATCTGGCACCCATATGGGATACCTGCTTAACCTGCTACACCACAACACTGGCCCCTAAAAATTATTTTAAAAATGGAGTTAAGAGTTAAGACAATAATCTAAAATTACTGTGTAAAAGTTGCTTTACATTTAAAACTCTGGGCTACAAGCTTTATATAGCTACATTATGTTTTAACAGATCAAAATATACATGTTCATATATGGTTTAGAAAGATTGGAAGATTTTTTTAGATAGTTTCTTTTTTTCTTCAAAGGTTATGTACTCTCATTGTTTTCCAGTCTGTAGTTTTGATAGAACTTTAACATGTGCTCTGTGAGAAACATACCCTGTGTGCAGATGAACTTGGGAAATACTGGGTTAATAGTTAAGGATTAACTATATTTATATATTTATGAGACTTTTCTAAAAACCTTGTGTTTCTAGCAGCTCAGCCTGTTTCATCTGAGCTGTATTTCTTTGACACATATTTTTTGTTGGAATTAAGTTTATAAGCATTTCAGAAATTTGAGAGACTCAAGAAACAACAAAAACAATTCGGTAGAATTGCATAAACTTTATCATAGAAACAAATTTCAGAGACACTAAGTGAGATGTTTCTCTGAGATAATGATCACTCCAAGCCTTAATTCACTTACTAATTTGTGATGGATTATACTTTATATAAAATCATTTGTGTGTATTTATTCTTTCTTGAAGCTAAATTTGTGAGCCATACATACACTCACACAAATGTCTAGGTACGTGCTTCTGTGTATTTAAAAGCACTGGCGGAAATAGGGACCATGCAGCATTCATCTCTTTGACCAAGGCGTTCATGTGCTGGATGTGAATGGAGGTAAACAGTGGTATACGAGGGGTGGCTACGACCTCGAGAAGGGTCTTACTGTCTGTCCAGCAAGTATATTTGGAGGTAGAATTTGGATTTGGAAATCTGCTCCCTCCCTAGACTTCTTGCCTTTACATGTTGCCACCTCTCAAAGATCATGGTGAGGGAGTCTGCTCTTCCTTTGCCGTCACTCCTCAGTTAAATTTTTAGGAAAGTAAGTTATTTTTCATTTTTTAAAATGTTTTGAATTGATAATATTCTGGCCAAACAGGGATTTCATGGAATGAAATGTCTTGATTAGAAAATTCTCTGGTATTGCATAATGGACATTAAAATTTCAGCATAAAATAGTTCAGCTTTGTTCCAGGGTTATATTTCAATTTGTTGTATCACATTCTTTCCCTCAATTTTTTCCATAGTTGTATCTTGTAGAAAGCTGTAGCTGGGGCTGGTGCTGTGGTGCAGTAGGTTAATCCTCCGCCTGCAGCGTTGGCATCCCAGCTGCTCCTCTTCCAATCCAGCTCTCTGCTATGGCCTAGGAAAGCAGTAGAAGATGGCCCAAGTCCTTGGGTCCCTGCACCCATGTAGGAGACCAGGAAGAAGCTCCTGGCTCCTGGCTTCAAATCAGCACAGCTCCGGCCGTTGTGGCCAATTGGGGAGTGAACCAGTGGATGGAAGACCTCTCTCTCTCTGTAACTCTGACTTTCAAATAAATAAAATAAATCTGAAAAAGAAAGCTGTAGCCAAACATACATTCAAGATAAGCACAATGTAGTATTCATGAGAGGCTGGCATCACTTTCTATTTTCTGACCTTCTTGGTACAGTATTAAATTTCTATTTTCATGCATATTTTGAGGAAAATGGACTTCTATATTAATATTTTATTTAATGATAAACTACAATGTTGTTTTTAAAACTCTAGTGGTTTTTTCTTTATTTTATTTTATTTTTTTTTTGCTAGAGATTCTTTGTTTAATCTTTTTTTTTTTTTCTTTGTTTAATCTTATTTGAAAGGCAGAATGACAGAGAGATCTTCCATCTGCTAGTTCACTCCTCAAATGTCTGCAACAGCCAGGGCTGTGCCAGGCCAAAGCCAGGGGCCTGGACTCCATCCAGGTCTACCAGTGTGTGGTAGGGGCCCAAATGCCTTGGCCATCTTCCGCTGCTTTCCCAGGTGCATTAGCAGGGAGCCGGATGGGAAGTGAAGCAGCCAGGACTCAAATGAGCACTCATATGGGATGCAGGTATCACAGGCTTGACTCACTATACCACAATGCTGGCTCCTGCTATGGATTCCTGTGGTCCAAGCATCTTGAGTTTTTTCTAATCAACTATATTTTGTTGTGTTAAATGAAAGGGGAGGGGGTTGTTTTAGGTGTTTACCATTTTTGCAGTTAGTCTCCCATTTCAGTGGTAGGCTTTTCTTGTCATAAAACTTATTGGTTCAATTCTCTCTGGAAAGGACCTCGACCTCAAGCAACCATAGAAGCCAGCACATCGCTCTCTGCCTTTCCAACATCGCTTTCATGCTTCCCTGGCAGTTTGCTCAGTTTATACTTTTTACACAGGTAAGATGACAAACTATTTAAGCTGAATGTTTGTTTCTAGAGAAGTTTTGAAGAATGATTACTTTTATACCTTAAGAGATTTTCAAAATATGGAATACATTTTGTGTAAATGAGTGATTTAAAAACATGTTCTCCAGCTGCATCTATTTTGTTGCAAATGTCAGGATTTCATGTTTTATGGCTGAATAATAATCCATCATGAATATATGCTACATTTTCTTTGTCTAGTCATCAGCTAATGGACATCTAGAATGATTCCACATTTTTGCTATTGTGTATTGGAGCTGCTATCAATACAGGAGTGCAAGTATCTTTTTCACATGCTGATTTCATTTCCTTTGGATATATTCCCAGGAGTGGGATAGCTAGAGATCATTATGCTAAGTGAAATAAGCCAGACCCAGAAAGATAAATAGCACATTTTCTCTTATTTGTGGAAGTTAATATATAGAGAGTATAAAAATTGTGTGGATGTCATATCATTTGGTATTTAGTCATAAATATTGCTGTACTGAATCATACCATTTAAGTGACAATGTACTCTTCTTTTCCCATGTTAAAAAAAGAGAGGTGGAGAGGAGGGAATACTGAGGACTTGGGATACTAGTAATATTTTGCTCTTAATTTGTGTGTTGGTTATGAGTGAGCTCAGAGGTCAAAAACTCATTTATCTATACATCATGTGCATTTGCTTGGTATGTATACTGTATTTCAACAGAATGTTTAATCTGGAAAGTAGTATAATTACACAACCTTGTAGTGTAGATCTTTGGCATTATTTTTATTCACAAATTTTCTGATGTTTGAGATCACCTCTGTCTCCCCACCTGTAGATTTTCTTTCTGCCTAATGAATCTATGTGCCAACTCTACAGCATGCCAAGGTTAAGACCTGCTCTTAACAGAAGGTGTTTGTGCTTCTTATCCAGCCACCTTTTGGCTGTTTTGTCTGGAGAGCAGACTTCTGATGAGAAATATTTTTCAGAGCTTTAACCATAATATTGCTTAAATAAATTGAGACCATATCCTTTTGTTCAAAACAACTAAATAAATAATGTCAAGAAACTGAACTGGGGAAAGGATAATTTAAATGAAATTTCATGATACTCAGATTTTCTGTTACTGCTCTTTTCCACTGACAATAATACTGTTCTGTTTTGGAAGTGAGAAATTAGCCAAACAGCCTCATGCTGCCACTTCTCCGTAACCTCAGTGTTGTTAATTGGTGCTCCATGTTTAAAGTATTCTCTCTGTTTTACTTTCTTATTGTTGGCCCCTTCAGCTTTTCCTATGATTTTCATTATTTGCCCCCATAAGTGTCACTGTACACAAAGCAATTTTGTTAATTCAGTGGTGCTAATGAGGTTAAGGAACTCTGGGTAAATTTGATACTGTTTTAATGATTGTCTAGCTATTCAAAGCATGTGCAGGACTTTATTTTTATTAAGCGATACAGAGTTTTGTTTGTGTGTGTTTTCCTGCTAACAGGGATAATTCAAAGTTACTTTTTTGGGGGAGAGTATTATAAGAATTTATTATGAATTGTATTTTTCATAGATTAGGATTAAAATTAATCCACATGCCCTAAACTTGTCTGAGAAATGGAGGTTAAGGAGCCAGGGATTGGCTGCATTTCAGAAGACAAAAATGATAAGACAGTCATAGAAAACAAGAGTATTTGGGTGGTAATTTCTTAGGCATTACCATTTTAGGCATTGGGAAGTTGACTTGATTTTCATAACTGAGTTTAAATTTTTAGTGTTCTTTTTTTTAAAGATTTTATTTATTTGAGAGGTAGAGTTATAGACGGAGAGAGAAAAAGGTCTTCCATCCACTGGTTCACTCCCCCAGTGGCCGCAAATGGCTGGAGCTAGCTGGATCTGAAGCCAGGAGCCAAGAGCTTCTTCCAGGTGTCCCATGCGGGTGCAGGGGCTGAAGGACTTGGGCCATCTTCCACTGCTTTCCCAGGCCATAGCAGAGAGCTAGATGGGAAGAGGAGTGTCCAGGACACTAAGTGGCACCTATATGGGATGCCAACACTGCAGGTGGCGGCTTAGCCTTCTACACCACAGTTCCAGCCCTCTCTCTATTTTTATATTCAGGAATACACAGGTGTGTAGGAAAGATTGTTAGCAGTAAGGAAAGTGAGGAAGCTAGTTGCAGAAAGGAGATTGCAGAATCTGAAGTGACAGAGACTGGTTATCAGTTTAACTTAATTTCTTTACATGACTGATTCTTTGTTTAGGAGAGTGTATTTCCATGTCCTTACTCCAGCTTATAACAAGAGTATCTGTGGTCCCTGAAGTTTCTCTTTTAGCAGCAGCAGTTTGGGCAAGGATTAGTTCTGGATGTTCTTGCCTCACCACTGGAACTTGAATTAAGGCTGCTTGAATCTAGGGGCCAACACTGTGGTGTAGCGGGTAAAGCCACCGCCTGCAGTGCCGGCATTCCATATGGGTGCCAATTCTAGTCCCGGCTGCTCCACTTCTGATCCAGCTCTCTGTTATGGCCTGGAAAAGTGCTTGGGCCCCAGATCCCATGGGAGAGACCCAGAAGAAGCTCCTGCCTCCTGGCTTTGGATCAGCCCAGCTCCAGCCGTTGGGGTCACTTAGAGAGTAAACCAGCGGATGGAAGATCTCTTTCTCTGCCTCTGTCTCTCTGTGACTCTGCCTTACAAATAAATAAATAAATCTTTTTTTTTTAAAAAAAAGAGAATCTGGGGAATTCTGTGGCCATCAGGAATTCTGTGTGCTCTGGGAAATGTCACTACACTGTGGTTAATAGAACACTGCAGAACCTGATCTGCTGACTTTGTAGCTCCCTTCCCTGGGCAACCTGTTAATGTGGAGTGTCTGAGATTAAGCACATTGTTTAATCACATCTGGAGTGGAAGAACTGTAAGTAAACTGGGATGTACCTATGGGGGATGCCATAACTCTGGTGTTCCTCCAGTAAGGCAACTCTGTGAATTGGTGTTTCCTTTAAGGAGACTCCTGGGGGTTGTGGTGCTACTGCGCCAGGGTGGCCTCTGCGTCTACCTGATGTGATCACATTACTTTATTCCTGAGCTGTCACCTGGGGGTGAGGCTGCCATTTGGGCTTGTGTGTAGATGCCTGCTGGCGAGTCCTGTTTCTTGTCCCCAAGCTTTTGGAGTCAACTGAAGGCTGAGGGTGTACTTCAGGAGACCCTCAGTGGGCACTGACATAAAGAACTCTGATTCAACTTCTGGAAGACAGGGGACTTGGCAACAGCTATGGATGCGGGTGCACCACTCTAAGCAGCTGGCCTCCATTCTAGCTTATTAGTGGCGTGGCTCTCTTCTATAGGAATACAGTCATTTTCTCTCATGGCCTGCTTGTCCAGAGATTGTTGAGTCAAGTCAAAGGAGTTTCAGCATCAGCTTCCTTTGTCTGTAGAACTAGCCTTCAGCCACCACAAGCTTCTGGTCAGCTCTGGTGTTGCACAGTTCCTAGGTTCAAAGTCTTCTTGCCTGCATGATGTGCCTGTTTTCCATGCTATTTCCATGCTATCCTGTCTTTCTTCAGATTAGTATTACAGTGGTTTCTTGGAGATGGCCACGTATCAGTAAACCTCAGAAGGGTTTCTACCCAGAAAACTCCTGGCTTTCTGACGAGTTTTTTCCCATTCTGGCTCTTCACCAAACTTTGATTTTCATACACTGAGAGTCTGAGAAAGGACAGTCTTTGCCAAGCCAAATAAACTTTTCTTTTAAGAACAGTGGATAGTTGTTTGCCTTTGATTTTCATTTCTTGGGTAACTGGATGGTCCCCTTACTAGAAATAGTTGCAACTTCTGCTACTATGTTAGCTTTGCTCATAGTTTTGTCTCAGCTGGACCCTTGCTGCTTATGTAAACTCAGCCTACTAGTTGATTTCTCCTTCTTAGCTTGATTGTGTTTTCTTATCAAAATGGTTAAAATATATTCTCATATATAAGCCAAATTGCAGGAATCAAAAATTAGCTTACCACGAGTTTTATGTTTCCAAATCTCTATAAACAATTTAAGATGTCTGCTTCCACCTCTGATTTCAGAAGCAAAACTTGTTCAAGGGCTTGAACAGGTTCAAAACTTTTTTTGTTTCTTGGAAACGACTTTTGGCCTACCTTCCTGCCTTCTTATCTTGAGGCCAGTCGCTCGAGAGCTTTGATGAAATCTGCATCTGGAGGCAGAAATAGAAGCCAGTTTTCTGCAAGATCCCAGAAGAGTGTTAACTCTGTGGTTGTATCTGAATTAGAGGACTCTCACAAGCAATTCAGATGGTGACATTTCAGGGACTCAGCAGAAGTTTTACCTGTGAAATAATATACTTTTTAGCCAAAGCTTAGTTGTGATTTTAAGAAGAGTAGTTTAGATTGCACGCCCTAATGATAATGCTCTAGGGGAGGAAGGACAGGAGGATTAACACCGTATTGGAGCTTATTTCATCTGCTCCTCGTGGCAGGCCTGGCACATAGGTATTGCGTATTGACTTCCTCTTACAAATAAAGACACTGAGGCTCAGGAGATAAGTGTAAAAACTAGTCTGCCTGAGTGTGAAGCACCTACCTTTGTCAATTTGTTTCTGTTGCATATTTAAGTATTTGAACTGTCCTCTCTCAAAGGTTACACACACTTGACTACGTTGTATTATTTCCTTGCAAAACTGACTTTGGCTTTCATGTAACATTTATTAAAGAAATAGACATTTGAGTTCAACCAATAGTACTAGAACAAAATAAAATACTAAAAGGGATAAAGTATTACATTGAACATCAACAGTCAGGAGGAGGGCTGATCAAGTCACTGTTTCTTATAGTGTCCATTTCACTTCAACAGGTTTCCCCTCTGGTGCTCAGTTAGTTGTTTCCCATCAGGGAGAACATATGATATTTGTCCCTTTGGGACTGGCTTAATTCACTCAGCATAATGTTTTCCAGATTCCTCCATCTTGTTGCAAATGACCAGATTTCATTGTTTTTGACTGCTGTATAGTATTCTA